TAGCCATAAAACAATAAGGGTTTGAGCAAGATTTAAACATTATTACTTATATTAAAACATCATTTGAATCTAATTTAATAATTTTTATTCTATTTTCTTAATCAATATTTTAATTGATTATAAATCTTTGTATATTGTAGTCAATTAGATTTTTTTAAAATACTTTATATATATATATATATATAAACTTGATGAGTCATATTTCGAGCCAAAACGAGCCGAACACGAACGAACACATCTTAGTTCGTGTTCGGCTCGTTAACTTATCGAACGAAATTAACGAGCAGAACACGAGCTGTTCGCGAACAACGAGCCGTTTTGACAGCCCTATCTGTGTGTGTTTTGAATATTCAACTTAATTTATTTATGCTCTTGAGAATTGTCTAGCATTCAAAAAAAAAAAAAAAAAAAAAAAAAAATTAAAAAAAAAAAAAAAAAAAAAAAGAATCCATTAGTTTTTCTATCTTGCCCTTTTATATAACAATTAATCCTAATTGCGCCATTCAGTCCATAAAGAATGCATGTTTTTTTCTTTAATCTATTAGGAAAGCGTTCACATATAAATTCAATAGAATTCAATAATGTGTGCAATACTTGTCACAAGGGAAATAATATAACAATTACTCCTAATTGACCCAAGATATTGATCATTTATAAAGACACTTATTATTTTAAATGTGCTAAGAATATTGTTAAGCATGAAGCCATAGAATTTCTCAATGAAAGTTTCACTTCTTTGTTGCTTTATTTAAATTTCTTTTAAATTAGTCTACTTATATCTCACTCTCTTAGGTGTTGCATCTCTATAAATCATTCATTATATTGGCCTTTACTCTCCCACCTCAACTTTTGTCCATTTTTACAACCCAAAGTGTTTTTTTTTATTCTTAATTTTTTGATGAGCGATGTAAAGAGTAGTTGGCCTTTTCAATATCTCTAAAATCTAACAAATTTGTGCCATTTTCTTCTTAATTTGGGGCTTTAACAATGATCAAATTGTTGAAAGACATCATTTTTTTTTTTTTACTATGAGCTTAAAGCCTTACAAAATTAACATTATAGACATTTCAAAATTACCGAAAATAAATCTATTTTATATATTTATATATTTTTAATATCTAAATTTTTAGGCTTAATTATTTTATATTTAAATTTTTAAAAAATTAAATATTTAAAAGTACAGCAATTTTAATTTTTATTCACATAAAAATAGCATTAATAAGTTATTTAAAAATTAAAATGAATGCTATATATATATATATATATATATATAACTTGACGATCCGGACATAAACCTTCATACTGCCCACTACTCTCTATAAAAAAACTCTCGATCACGTGGACGCTTCACTTCGATTGACCACCACGTATTTTGCGACAACGTGCTTCCCTTCACATTTCGTACCAAAGCCCCCATTCGAAAACCCGATCACCGCCACATAACCGACCTCCTTCTTTATGGACTGCACGGCGCGCATTTAACGGCAGCCACAGCAATCCAACCCCCGTCCTCCTCCCGAAACCCCGACCTGAAATTTCTTCTGAAGAGCTTCCATAGATATCTCTTCTCGTGTACTCGGAGAGATAACACTCTGCTGCTCGAATCCTGTCCATGGGTAGATCCAGCACTCCTCCCACGATTCCCTACTCACAGGCCGCACCGCCGACTCCATTGAGTCTGCTTCCTGCTAGCTTTCACAATGGATCCCTTTCTCGGCCAACATTCTTCTCCCTCGACTCACTCCCGCCGTTGAGCCCCTCCCCTTACCGCAAAACCTCCCCGATCTCCTCCTTTTCCGACTCCCCGGACTTGTCCGCTGCCTCGGGCGATAGTCTTCAGAATTGCACGATCCACCGTCGATCCCGCAGCGATCTCCCACCAGCGGTGAAGCCGGAGCCGATCGATGATAGTGCCGAGCGCTTCTTGGTGAGCAAATTGGAAGCTAATGTCGGCGACGATCTTTTCGACGCGTTTCTCAATTTGGATGGGTTTGGTTGGGTAGAATCCTTAGATAACCGTCGAGACGAAATGGAAAGCAGGGGAAGCGGAAACAGCAAGACAGGCGGCGCTTGTAGCAGCGAGAGCGAGGCGGAGAGCTGTGCGATTGACTGTGCCTTGGCTGGTGAATCAGTTCCAGCTGCTAAGGGCATTCCAGAAGCATTTCGTTGGATGGATTGGTAGGTAGGGTTAACTTTTGCGAGAAATCGATTGGGGTTTCGCCTTCCCCCTCTTCTGGGTGTAAGAGAAGCATGAGCTCTGAGTGCGATTCGATGGACGCGACCTTCAGCTTGGAGTTTGGGAGAGGGGAATTCAGCGGGACGGAGCTGAAGAAGATAATGGCGGATAAAAAACTGGAGGAGATCGCTCTGGCTGATCCAAAACGTGCCAAAAGGTGCACTTCTGTTTTATTAAGTTTTTGGCTCTTATACAAGTTTGGATTGATTTCTGGTTCTTTGATTTCAGGATATTGGCCAATCGTCACTCTGCTGCTCGTTCTAAGGAAAGAAAGGTGCGTTATATTTCAGAGCTGGAAACCAAAGTTCAGGCATTGCAGACTGAAGCTACAATACTATCAACTCAACTAAATTTCCTGCGGGCGAGTCTTCCAATTTCTTACACTTTGATGTCGTTATTTTTGCAACAAATGCAAATTTGATCAACTTTTGTGATTTTTTTGGGACTAAGAAAGTTTATGTTTGTAATTGTGGTATAGGGAGACTCGTCTGGGCTTGCTACTCAGAACAATGAATTAAAGATTAGGCTACAGGCCATGGAGCAACAGGCGCACCTAAAAGATGGTATTTTTTTTAAAATTTTTTATGCAATGTTTTAATCATGAATTTTCTAGTATATAATTATCAAAATTGCACGAGAAGAAACAATAAAATGATGACCAAAGTTAAATATGGCAATTTTTCATGGAGCCTTTATTAATACATGGTCATCCATAAGTATGTGTGGATTAGGAGTGTGCACCGAGTATATTCGCAATACACTTAATACACCAGGAGTATTCTCATCGGATCATCTGCACATAATGTTTTTTTTTTCTTTACCAAATGAATGAGATAGGGATCTAATTTATGATTTCTGTTTAAGTTTTTGGATCGTATTACTGAAATGAATGTGATTAGATATTTGTTCTGTAAATATGTAATATTTGAGTGTTCCACATATAAATAGCTTAAAAAAACAAGAATAAGAAGAAGAAGAAAAACGAAGGATTATTCATTAGCACAGACAAATGGGTGAACTATCATATTTGGTTAGAAATTTGGAAGCTCATGATAAGCTGCGGAATCAAATTTAAGGAGAATGATGATGAAATTGAATATTAAGGAATAGTGAGTGTTTATGTTTAATAGTTTATTCTCTTTGATTTTCCTAAAACTATTGGAAATATGATTATTAAATTAAAAATATAATTGATATTTAATTATTATTAAGTATTTACATTTAGAGGGATGTAATTATTAGTATATTTTTTGAAATTAAAAAGTTAAGTAAATATTTTAAATTAATATTTTGAGACATTCTCTTTTTATTAAAAAAACAGAAATAATAGTAATGAAATTCATAAGTTGAACTCTTATTTTATTCATATTAATCTATTTGTATGCTTCGCAGCGCTCAATGAAGCTCTCAGTGCAGAGGTCCAGCGCCTGAGACTTGCCACCGCCGAGTTGGACAAGTCCCTCTCCCAACACATGTAAATTTAACTAAATCTTGAGGAATCATTTTTAACGAGCCAGTTTTCATTAAATTTAACTTTAATCTTCGTTTCTTTATGCATTTTTTTAATTATTCTTATAAATAGCCATTTATATTGTAGCCTGCTGTAAGTTTTAATTGATTTGATTCAATTGTTGTAACTGTTTAAGAGGTTGTATTTGTTCTGCTGATTTATGGGCTTCTTTTTCTTTTTCTCTTGATCTGGTGATGGAAAGGTGCTCAATGAACCGAGGCAATGAAATTAAATAATATATGATTTTTTTAGTGGATGTGTTTTTTTTTAATTTGAAAAGTATATTTAATGAAGAATTAAATATTTATTTTGATGCGATACTATGAGATGATTAATTTTTGTATTAAGTTAATTGAAGTTAATTAGGTAGTTAAATATCATGAATTAATAGTTCTTGTGTGTCTATAAATAATCTTCATTTTGGAGATTGGAATGAAAGAAAAATGAGGTTTTTCCTCCAATTTGTGTTCTCTTTTCTAATTTTCTCACCGCCAATTTTTAGAGTTGTACCACAATTTTTTAAATGTGATTGTATTAATGATGCTTTCAATATTACGAATGGAATTTGAATGTATTCGAGTTTTAAGTACGACATTGGCATATAATGTTGTACAACATGTGTACAGTAGTGTAAAATATTATTATATGCAATCAGATATATTCAGACTTTGCACGTAATAAATTTTATCATTGAGATGCATGTTTTACCCTCAACCATCTCCGCTTAATAAGATTCAACCACCTTCCCATCATCATTGCTGAATCTTAAGTTGTCCTTTGTGAACATGCCTAGAGGGTTAAAGCTGAGAGAAAGAGGAAGAGAAAGAGAGAGAGGGAGAATTAGGCAAATCACAATAGAAAAACAGGGGAAAACCCTTTTATTCGTCTTTTTGCCTTCTATTTATGGAGACATATTTGTACAATTAAAATACGGAGATAATGATTATGAAAATCGTCCTATTTATATCAAATATGTATTACAATTTTAATTTGAATATGACGATAACCAACAAATTCGGTGAACTGAGGTGACTGGTCATATGATTGTAGCGCCTGTAGAAGTCAAAAAACCGGTTGTCGACTTCCTACGATTGGGCGACCTTGTGAGGAGCTTTCAGGCGATTGAGACTACAGACGCGGTTCTCCAATTGAATCTCTTGTCATAGTATGTCGGTTGACTTCAATCAGACGTTCGGTTGTTGAATGAATAGTTAAGATCATGCTCTTTTGGTATGCACCTCGATCATCCAACCACTATTCTGGGCCGCTCGATTGCTTTAAGATTTGTGTAGGCAGTTCTAGTGTATACATATTAGTTCTCAAAGTTTTCCTGCTCCTTGAAAGTGATAGCTACAATAAAGACAGGAAAATTATTTAATAATCAGTGGTGCTAAAATCAAAAAAATTAATTTGATAATTAAATTCCCTTTAGATTTTGTGTCTAGTGTGCTCCATAAATAGTCATAAGCTTGGCATGACATATGTTACCATCAATTTTTTTCCTAATTAACTGAGTTGCATCATGGCTGATGGTTCCAGCTGGATCACCGTGGACCCCATAATTGTTACCAAGATGGGTTGCGGGCCCTCGGTCTCTGTAAAGAAGAATAAGGTTAAGAAAGGGAAACAGTTGAGGACCGAATCTTTGTCGGCTAATCAAGTCGACTAATTCAGGAATCTTGAGGGAAAAATGCCGAAAGTTCTTCGCCAGGAGGCAGCGGTCCCTGAGTCTGGCATGAGTGCAAGCACCGAGGGCCAGCGAGCCTTGTTCGTTGAAGGCGCTGGCGAGAGGAGCGATCATCGTCTCTCCTCACCCACTACTGCAAGAAGGTGGAGGTACCTCGACATTAGAGGGAGAGGCATTTTAAAACCTTTTCTTCTATGGATAGATTTATGAGTACGTAAAACCTTCTTTGGCCGTTGATGATTCTCAACAATTTTTTATATTATTCCAATGCAGAAGAATCAGTCAGGTCGGAGGAACGCAAGGATGGTGGGTCGTCGAAGGACGTTAAGGAGTTTGCCCACGCTGCAGTGAACAGTTTTCAAGCCAAATATGCAGAGCTTTTACTGACAATCACTTTGGAGGCTCCGGTCCCTTGACCCTTCGGAAGGGAAAATTTTATACAAGAGTTAGCAACCTATATGGCGACTGTGGGCTTAAATGTATCGGCCCTGCATACGGAAGTCGCCACCTTGCGTACTGGGCTGGTCAAGGCGCTGCACGAACTGGGGGAGCTTCGCGAGTAAAATGACCTGGCCAAGTTCCAATGAAAAGTTGGTCGGATGGATCAGATTAGATTAAGAAGACAGATGGTCCTCAAAAGGCTGACTCATAGGGTTTATGTCTCAACTGAGGCCTTGGAGGTCTCATTCATAAAGCACTTTGTTCTAGACATGTATTAATATTATTTGAAAATGAAACACATTTGAATAAATTTGAAAAGATGTTTGGTGTGACACTTATCATTATGTGACGTCTTGGTTTACGTGTTTGTCTTATAAATGGAGCAAGAGAACACTTCTTTTTATTTTACGTGCGTTGATTTCTTTCTCTGTGCTTCTGATCTTTCTTTTCCTTTAGCCTTACAACCGTTATCTGTTCTTTGAAAATGACTCTAAAATATTCCCCCGCCCTCTTTGGCTCCATCAAGGGTGTTAATCCTTCATTTTTTACAGAGAACGGGGTGAAAGAGTTGTAGAGAAAGTACGTTCTACATGACAGTGTCGATCTTCAGAAGTTGTCGGAGTTGGCTCGAGTGATGGACTTTGTTGGCAGGGATCTGGTTTTCTACCGAGACCAGTACAAATATGGCCTCCGGTTACCTCTGTGCGACGAGTTCTGGCATGAGTGCAAGCGCTAGGAGGCAGCGGTCCCTGAGTCTGGCATGAGTGCAAGCACCGAGGGCCAGCGAGCCTTGTTCGTTGAAGGCGCTGGCGAGAGGAGCGATCATCGTCTCTCCTCAGCCACTACTGCAAGAAGGTGGAGGTACCTCAACATTAGAGGGAGAGAAGCATTTTAAAACCTTTTCTTCTATGGATAGATTTATGAGTACGTAAAACCTTCTTTGGCCGTTGATGATTCTCAACAATTTTTTATATTATTCCAATGCAGAAGAACCGGTCAGGTCGGAGGAACGCAAGGATGGTGGAACATCGAAGGACGTTAAGGAGTTTGCCCACGCTGCAGTGAACAGTTTTCAAGCCGAATATGCAGAGCTTTTACTGGCAATCACTTTGGAGGCTCCGGTCCCCTGACCCTTCGGAAGGGAAAATTTTATACAAGAGTTAGCAACCTATATGGCGACTGTGGGCTTAAATGTATCGGTTCTGCATACGGAAGTCGCCACCTTGTGTAGTGGACTGGTCAAGGCGTTGCACGAACTGGGGGAGCTTTATGAGTCAAATGACCTTGCCAAGTTCCAATGAAAAGCTGGTCGGATGGATCAGATTAGGTTAGGAAGACAGATGGTCCTCAAAAGGCTGACTCATAGGGTTTATGTCTCAACTGAGGCCTTGGAGGTCTCATTCATAAAGCACTTTGTTCTAGACATGTATTAATATTATTTGAAAATGAAACACATTTGAATAAATTTGAAAAGATGTTTGGTGTGACACTTATCATTATGTGACGCCTTGGTTTACACGTTCGTCTTATAAATAGGGCAAGAGACCACTTCTTTTTATTTTACGTGCCCTGATTTTTTTCTTTGTGCTTCCGATCTTTCTTTTCCTTTAGTCTTACAACCGTTATTTGTTCCGGTGACCTATGTGTGACGAGCTCCAGAGCGCATTCAACACGCACGGGGTTATTCTGGCGTAAGTACTGCCGAACTTTATAGCTATCATCATGAACTTTGTCATTTATTGTCATTGGGAGTGTATTATGTGGTCGATCAACCTATTTAAGCATTTTTTTCTTGTTTAAGGTTGATAAGGAGAGCTTCACCATGTTTTTGGCGGGTAAGGAACTCTATCTGCTGGGAGTGGAGAACAAAATAAAAGATTGCAAAAATAAGTTTCTGGCAAGCTCTTTCTTTGGTTCCTGGGGGATCCGAACCAAGCCGTCAGAGCGAGTAGCACACAGGCTAATGTCTCTTCCTTCGAGCATGAAAGTTGTCATGGAGATGCTGACAAATCGTTATTTATTGGTCCTGTAGTACACTGCCGAGACAATGATTACTCACGCATTGAAGGGTGCGATGAAGGAGGATCAATGGCATTGGGCATCGAGTAGGCCACCAAACACAAGCTGGCGAAGGACAAGCTGGTCACCAAACAAAAGAAGCATTGGCATCTCCCAGGATCAGGTAATTTCATTGGAGACGAGGATATGCTCCTTTATAGTGTGGCATCAAGATACCTTATCTAAAACTAGCGTTGTTCAAGATCATGTGATCGAAAAGATTACTACTATTCCTCGGAAACATGTTTCTCATTTTGTTGATACATAGGAAGGTGGCGAGAGAGCGTTCAAATTTGAAAGGATTCCAGATAAAGCCTCAACCCCCTCTTCCTCAAAAGCAGGTACGTCGTCGGCTGCCATCGCTCTGCCTGATTCACAAGTCAGGGACCCTTCCTCCGTCGCCTTGTTCGTGAGAGTTGAAGCTAGTCCTACCTCTACTGCCTTGTCTAGTTCCTCATCGAGAGAGTTGGCTTCGTCTTCCAATGATGAGGTCTTGCCTTCCCTAGAGGTAAAAGGGATCTGTCGGCGGGAGAATAAGCCGACAGAGGAAATAGACGTCCCACCTCCCCTTCCTTTTAAAAGGAGCAAGAAAGCCTTCGAGTGGGAGCCCATGCACAGGGCACCAGGAAGACGTGCCTTGGGTCTGAGATGCGATTCGATCTACTGGATCGATCTTTAGACTAGTACCCGTAGACGGGTGAGAACAAGAGCATCCCCTCCACTTTGTTGAACCTGTTATGGTTCGAGGAATTTGGCAATACCCAGGAGGTTTTCATCCAACAAGAACTCTTTCAAAGTGTGGACTTGTGATAGTTGATGGCGACACAGAGTGCCCATTTTCTGGGGCTAACCATCATCGAATTAGAGGGAGCGTTGGACAAGGCTTGAAAAAAGGAGGCTTTGTTGGAGGCGGACTTTAAAAAGATCTGCGACGATCAGACCTCCTGAAGATAAAGTTCGACAATTCTGAGAAGGCCAATCAGGAATTCGTCTGTATTATAACAGCTTTGGAGAAGGAGATTGTCAA